ATAAAAGTGAGACTTTGGTATATCCAGAAAATAATAAAAGTGAGTGTTATATGATGAAAGTGTGGGGTATTTGAGGAATGATAAAGTAAAAGAAATTGGATTAAGAATAAATGGGTGATGCAGGGATATTATCTAGCCAGCTTTTTTTTCCAGGCACCTCTCCACTTGCCTTTTAATAATACATAGTAGGCAGTGTGCTTAAAAGTGGGCAATGACACTGACCCATTCAATTGTGCCTAGTGTTATCAGCTCAGACGGTCCCCTGATTAAGGATGGGCTGGAATTATCCCCCCCCCTCCTGGAGATCCGAAAGGATGATACTGTGGGAAGTTAACTCTTGGTTTTGCTGTTTCCACTTCCCATGGCTTGGCTTGCTCTGCCTCTTGCCTGCTTAGGAAAAAGTGGTTAGATAATGTCCTTCAGACGATGAACAAATGTAGTCTGAGTGTAAAAGTAAGAGAGAATGAATCAGGATGGGATTAGAAAGGAACTATAGGAAGAGAGACTGAATGGAAAGGAAGAGAAAGAAAGAAAGAAAGAGAAGGAAGGAAAGGAAGAAAGGAAGAAGGAAGGAAGGAAGGAAGGAAGGAAGGAAGGAAGGAAGGAAAGAAAGAAAGAAAAAAAGAAAGAAAGAAAGAAAGAAAGAAAGAAAGAAAGAATATGAAAGTCATGACTAGATGGTGTTGATGACATTCCGAAAAAGAGCTGAGAAGTTTAAAGACAAAAGGAAATCGGTGAGGTAGGTGAAAACAAGGATGGTCTGCAATGAGAAGAAATGTATGGAAATACTGTATATTAGTGCACTGTGTTGATGTAAACCAGATTTTTGGTTGCCTGTCTTTAATTCCTGTCGTTCACTGCTTCTCATTCTTTGCCAGCACTTTGCATAACAATGATTACCTTAAAAAGAAATAGCAAGATGCATGTATAAGTATTGAAAAAGTGCCTTAACTTGGATGCTGATGGAGGCCTTTTCTAACTGGACCATTTTAACTGAAGACACTCAAGTCCGAAGCAGTTATTTTGCAAGGAAAGCATGCTACATTTCAATGATCCCTGTTAGCTTCATCCTTTCCTTGGAACTGAATGTAGCATTCAGTGCTGTTTGCCCTTTTGTAGGAGCAAAGGCACAATGTGGAAACCTCAGTTCTCACAACATCTAACTCTGAAAAGATCACAAAATCTAACTCTGTTGCTAGACTTTCCTGCACCAATCATATGTTGGTTGTCTGTGCCACATGTGCAGTTAAATTATAGAAATTGATATACATGATCTGCAAGAGGTTTCTTTTTTAGATTTAGTGCGGGGGGGGGGGGGGGTTGTTTTGCAAAAAAATATATGGTGTCCTTGTGTTGTCACCGTTTTCCAAGAAGATGTTCCATGTTCACAAAGGTCCTATTTCTTGTTTCTTGTTATTTCATTTCTTTCTCTCTCACAATCTGAGGTTCTCACTGGTTGGGTTTTGAAACGTTACTTCTCACATTAGCAATCCTCTGGTTCTCCAGGAAATCTGGCAGGTTGAATTCTGCGATTTAAGGGTGCCATTGCTCTGTGTCTGACTATTGTCAAATAACTTCACAAGTTGTGTTCACCTAATTATAGAACCACTGGTCCTCTGAGGTTTTATTCAATCTGAGCAAATTGCTTTGACTCTGTTTCTTTTATCCCATTTTTGCTTCTTGTCTTCACTTTTAACCACTGCTGGCTTGTGCTGAAGCCATACCTGCGAGTCTAATACGGTGCTGAAATCTCTCCTCTAATTCCCCATTATTTTCCTCCTCTGCAAGAGAAGGTTCTGTTTTTCTTACCTCATTCTCAGGGTAGAATGAACTTGTGGTTGGTTACCAAAGGAGGACTGCTATTTTTTGTTCCTCATTTGCCTGCCAAGCTGCAGATTCCCAGGATGCCCTGGCTTCCTGGTGTGAAAAAACACCGGAGTGGTGTTTCCTCGTGAGACTGTCCATCTGGATTTAACTGAAGTGTGAGAAATCGCTAAAGCTGCAGACCATTTGGAAAAAAATACCATGCAATGGAAAAAAAAAGAACTCTTATATTAACCTTCCCTTTGATGACCTCATAACTATATTGTGCAAAAATTTCACACCTTCCCGCCTCTTCCCAGAATCTCAGCTATTTTTTCCCCCAATCGCACGATATAAAACAGTACCAATCTGATCTCTGATTGTCAGGTGCTTGCCCTTTTTCCTGCTTCTGGCTCTCCATTCTCCTCTGCGCTTCAACTCTTACGGTTTTGTCTTCCACAAAAAATCCAGCTGTATCTGTTTTGCACCATATTCCTTTTTGTGTTCTAAAAGCCAGAAACAGATGCCTGCTGAAGGCCTCATTTCATTCTGTTAACCAAAGGTTAGCTTAAGAATAATTTCTCATGCCACTAGGAAGACGTATAGATCAAGGAAACCTATGGTCTGTGTCAATTTTCTAACGGTCTAAAAACTTACATGATGAATGAGGGGAAAAAAAATCAAGTTAACAGGATGTTAGAAGAAAATTGTTGTTACTCAATCCACTGAGAAGCATTCTTGTTTCCTTTGTTTTGTGTGCATGCTTTCAATGAAAATAATGGAAAGTGGCAAGTATAAGATGAATTGAAGTTCCAATAGCAACCCGAATTCCACATTTTGAGAAATTAATATTCCCAGACTGTGATGACAAAATTGGCACATAAAGGTAGTCCTCGACTTACAAAAGTTCATTTAGTGACCATTTGAAGTTGCAACAAGGCAAAAAGTGACAGGACCATTTTTCACACTTACCACTATTGTAGCATCCCCATGGTTGTGTGATCAAAATTCAGATGCTTGTCAACGGACTCATATTTATGCCCCATGTGTCATGTGACCATCTTTTGCAACCTTCTGACAAGCAAAGTCAATGCGGAAACCAGATTCACTTAATGACGGTGTCAGTAACTTAACGGCTGCAGTGATTTGTTTAACAAATGTGGCCAGAAAAGTGGTAAAATGGTGCAAAACTCACTTAACAAATGTTTCATTTAGGAACAGAAATTTTGGGCTCAGTTGTCGTCATAAGTTGAGGACTACCTGTATTCATTGTTCCTCTCTGTCAGGTGCAAGTAAGACTTAAAACATAGAAAGACACAAAAATGTACAAGTTATTATTTGTATGCATGAGCCTATAGTAGTTAACTTCATTAGAGACACGTGTCATCATTAAATAGGATCTCTCTAGCCCATCTCTGATTCCATCAATGACCTCAACCCAGCAGTTTGCTGATGAAGGTTGCTGCAGTTAAGATTGGAAAAGAAAATGGTAGCAAATAATAATCTGTTATTTTTCAAGACACACCTGGAAAAAAAAAAAGAACTCAGGAAGCGGCTTTGCAAATTTTCTAATTGACAGAGTGGAAATCTGCCCAAACCATGAAAACAAAATAGTGATTACCCTACTTTCCAGACGATGGAAAGAGACATCTTAGATATTTCATGTTGACGTTGCTGAGATAATTTTATATGTTTGGAAGGTCATAAAGGAAATAATTACTATTAGGCTGGTGCAGCGTCTGGAAGTTAAAAGAAGTGTTTTTGGAGTATTAAAGGGACACGTTGCTTTACTTTTTGAAACCAGAAAGAGGCCTAAATGGAGAAACATTTAATTTTTAGAAATGAATCCCCTTTAAAGCAAAGACATCTGAACCCTTTTTGTATTCTTTACATTATTAAATGCTTTGGTAGAGTAAGGCAAGCCAAATGGTTTGTGTGAAGGCCACCCTCAGATTCCTATTCATTTGTTGAAAGCATTGCTATCCTTTTGCAGCTAATGAAAATAAAATATTCATTGTATTCAAGGTTACCTAGGATGGCCATTTTGACCACTTACGCATTCTTAAGAGAAAATGTAACATTAAAACGGGGGACAAATGAGGGTAGAGCTTTGCATAGCACTCATATATGCATATGAGCATTTGTTTCTTCTGTATAATTTTGGCAAGAATATCAAAACATGCATGAGATTTCAGTGTTCTTCTCAGATCTACCTAGGATTGTTGTGGGGAAAAAGGAGAGGAAGGAGCATCTTGAGTCTGGAATAAAATAAAAGTTTGATTGATTTTTAAAAATTGGGAGAGAGGCACTCATGACTCTGCATGCTCTTTCTCCTGCACAATAGGAGGCACATTTTTCATCATAAATGAACAGTGGTTCTTTCCCAAATTACTTGGAGTACATGTAATCGTTAGGCTCATCAAGAAATATAGTTGTGTTTGCTTTCATATTGAGTTGCTCTGTTTTATTTGTTTTTGTTTTGTTGGGCATGTAGTAGGTACTGGATATAGTGGACTGGATTTGCTTGATTTCACAACATAGTGATGTCAAAAGGATCCTGGAATAGGCTTTCTGGGGACCAAGCAAATGCACTGCTGGATGCTGGCATAAGGCTTGAATTGGGCTTCCTGTGGCTTCCTGGCCCTGCCATTCAGCACTGTGTGCCATGCTTTCAGATGGAATGAAAAGGAGCTTCAACCTAGTAACTTCTTCTCCAACAGAAACCTTGATGGGGTTCTGGAGACCAAGGGCATGCCAACCTTTCAAAGTAGTGCATAGAAAAAAACCAAAACTATGACGACCAACACTACCCTTATTTAAGGTTATCATAACAAAATATTGCAAGTGTGAACACATTTCTCCTCTTTCCTGCTTTTACTTTCCAGAGAACTTGGAAGATGCTTTCTCCAGTCCCATTCCATCTGTGGACTAAGATGTCTCTTATCTGGCTATTGCCATAGCTGCTGCAGCAGTTCCTTCTCCTATATCTCCAGGATATTCCCACAGTTGTAGCCAGTCCTCGAAACAAGTCAAATCAGCCTCAGCTCAACTTGCAGGTTCCAATAGCCAGCGTCAGTCTTAATGTCCACAAGCTTCTGAAAGTTGGTTAGGCAAAATATCAACTGTGCTACTTGACATCTGTGCATTGAACATGGCATCATCATTTATGGTTTGTTTTTCCTTGTTTTGAAAATTAGATGTTTGTTGCTGAAGAAAATGTGGATTTTCGGATACATGTGGAAAATCAGACACGAGCACGAGACGATGTCAGCAGGAAGCAGCTCAGACTTTATCAGCTCTACAGCCGAACCAGTGGGAAGCATATCCAGGTGCTGGGAAGGAGGATCAGTGCCAAAGGAGAAGATGGAGACAAATATGGTAAGAGAATTTTCTTCTATCTGCTATTCTTGGGTGTGCCTAAGGCATGGAGGTGATTCATTGGCTTCTCTGATTGGTCAAACTTGAATAAAATAAGCCAAGACAATGGACATACAGTGATCCTGTACCAAAATGAGAGGACCATTAGCTTGTTAAATATGAGGCAAATTATAAAAATAAAATAAAATAATTTTGCCTTATTTGTTGCTTAAATGGTCTAGGTCAGGGGTGTCAAACTCAATTTCATTGAGGGCTGCATCAGGGTTGTGTTTGACCTCAGGGGGCCAGGGTGGGCCAGCGTGACGCCATTCGTGTCAGGGGTGCCTGTGATGGGCCGACCACTCTGCCGGCAAAAATGGGCCCCCAAGCTCTGTTTTGCGCCACGATGGCCTCCTGTAGCCCTCTGTCAGTGAAAATGGAACTCAGGGAGGCCATCGCAGCTGACAATGGAGGCAGGGAGGAATTGTCCTTCCTTTTGTAAAAAAAATTCCTCATGATAATACTATGGGGTAAATGATAGTAAATGAGGCTCGTTGATTGAAACTCCTCTAGGAAACTTCGTGGCTAACTAAAAGGGGTTAAACAAAGGATCATCTTTTGGAAAACAAGCATCTAATCTGAATGTACCTCTTCCATGACTGTTCTGAGTCGATTGCATTACTTATATCAACCTACCTAAATTTGAGGTGAATGGGAAAATCCAACTTGCTGGTTATTATGTTTGAACTTCTCAGATTCTCCACTGGAGCAGCATGTCCTCAAAACTTCTAACATAGGAAAATGGTATGGTAGAAGAAGTTCATAATCAAAGTCCATCTATTATTCATGATTGGTTGAGGAAAAATGGAGGGGAAAAAAAGAGAGCCCAGATTCATCCCTTTAGTTTCAGTAGGATAAGAGGTGGAGATGAATAAAATACAGTAATGTTTATTTTACTGTATTTCTGGGTCAATCGATTATGAATATATTTTCAACTCAGAAAATTAGAACTCTAAAAAGTTAACCTATTCTTCCTGTTCTATGAGTAGTCCCTGACTTACAACTACAACTGAGCACGGAATACTGGTTGTTAAGTTATTGCAGTCATTAAGCAGGCCACTATATGATCTGGCTTTACAACCATTTTTATGATGGTTGTTCAGTGAGTCACCATGGTTGCCGCCATGGTGGAAAACATCAAAATTGCATTTTGTGATCATGAATCTGCAGGATGCTACAACTGGCCATAACTACAAGCTGGTTGCCAAGAGCCCACAATTCAGTCATGTGACCACAGGGGTGTGTATAGTCATAACTTTGAGGATGGGTTATAAGTAGGATTTTTTTTGCAATCCTTCACAACTTCAAATGGTCATTAAATGACTAATCGTTCAGCAAGGACCACCTGCATTGGTTCCTAACTTTGCAAATTCCAGATAAGTGGGCCAACTCCCAAGCTTCTTGCCCCAGTGTCTTTCATTGCTTTCAGCTGAGTGATGTACATCAAGGCACTGAAGGAGTTCGGCTTAGTAAAAGAGGCGCCTCGAGAATGGTAATGGTCTAGGTTGCACACAAAACCATTTTTCTGCTGCATGATAACTACTAAGGCATCACAGATGTAACACAGACTTAGGACCCAGCTATATTTTGCATTATACAAATTTTGCATTATACATATGTTTATATGACAGGGGTGGGCAATATTTTGCATTATACATATTTTGTGTTATACAGGTAGCCCTCGCCTTACAACAGTTCATTTACAACAACGTTCAGAGTTACAACAGCACTGGAAAAAAAGGGACTTATGACCATTTTTCACAGTTATGACCTCTGCAGCATTCCTGGGATCACATGGTCAAAATTTGGATGCTTGGCAACCGACTCCTATTTATGATCGTTGCTATGTCCCAAGGTTGCGTGATCATTTTTTGTGACCTTCTTATAAGCAAAGTCAGTGGGGAAACCAGATTCACTTAACAACTGATTTACTAACTGATTTACTAACTGCAGGGATTCACTCCACAACTGAGGCAGGAAAAGTGGTAAAACAGGGCAAAACCCACTTAACAAATGTCTCACTTAGCAATAGAGATTTTAGGCTCAATTGTGGACGTAAGTCGAGGACTACCTGTACATAGGTGTATATGGCAGGGGTGGGCAATCTGCATCCCTATGCCCTTGTTTTATAGTCCGGTCTCCTGAGCCCATAAGATTATCTAGTTGAGATATAGTAGCATACTGCTGGTACAGGGTATTCTTATTTTAGTTTAAGTAGACAAGAAGTTATATGGGGTCCATACTGTACTTCACTAGGTCATTTTCAATCCCATTGGCTGCATTGGTACAGCATATTAGACTTGGTTATCTTTTGTTCTTAAGTTCAAGAGTTTTTCTGCGAGAACTGCATTCTTGTCAAAAGGGGTCTGTACTTGGTGCACCACAGGGAATGCAGTTATGTTTCCCCCACCCACTGAAGTGATAGCTATTTATCTATTTGCAACATTGCATACTTTCAAACTGCTGGATAGGCAGGAACTAGGGACTGAGTGACAGGCGCTCACACCATCTCATGGAATTGGGCTTGAAGTGCTGGAGTGCAGACCATTTCTGGCCAGCAGTTCTACCGTCATTAAGCCACTGTGCCACCGCTTCCCCAACCAAAACATTTAAAATTGTCTACTTGAATTCTGTTCAAACTAGGCGCAGATCTGCATACTGTTTGGAATTCAGTTTGGGGGCTGATAGAAAACATTGTTAGGAAAACAGCTCTATTTTATTCGGGCTGATGTAGAAGGTGCTGACTTTAACTGGGGCCAAATTTGATATTCAAAAATCCATGCCTCCAACGACATACACAAATATTTGTCAAATTTTAAAAAACAAACTGATATATTTCAAGTATTGGTAGGCTGAAGCGGAGGATTTATTATACTGTGATCCTTTACATTGAAAAAAAAGTATTTATAACTTTTGTGAGAGTTTGATCTGTCTCATAAGTGATCCCAGCAGTTGAGTAACTTCAATATTTAAAAAAATTATGCTACACTTAAACAATTAGGGTTTATTTAGAAGCATACTTTTTTTTTTGCCATCAAACAGACATGGAACATTCTTGTAGTAGATTTGATTCTGAACTCTAATCAGAAAACATTACAACAATATATTGAACTGAGTGGTGTAATCATTTTGATAGATGGCTTTTAAACTAAGATCCATTTAATTGGTTATTAATCAGGCTATGTCTAGACTGATAATGTGAAAGATTCTCCAAATATTTCATATTGGTGAGATGCTGAGTGTTCCTGAAGTGCTTTTAGATCATGGAGAATGGAGAGGGGGGATTATGTCTGGACAGGTTACTTAAAAAGTAGCTGCCTATTCATCAACTAGATTTAAATCTTGCAATTCTGTACAATGCTTTTCCCACTTGACTATAACAATGTGAAGTGGTTGACTAATTCTCTTGCACACACTGACTTTTAAAAAGGAAAAGGGTGGGAAATGGAAGGTAAAAGATTCACATTACATGGTATCTCACACTGATGGAAGAGATAGGAGAGGCAGCCGTATGTAAGCTGAAACACTGGGTTTTCAGCACACAAAAGCAAGAGGACATTCTATACTGTTTGTTCTCTCTTTGTGTGCAGTTCATTTACAGGGCTGGTCTTGCTTTGGGGTAGAAAAAAAGGCTTTATTTGTGTTTCATGGGTGGGAGATTCTATTTCAAAGTATGGGGCTTGCCTGTTATGTTGAAAGGTAATGTTAATGTTTCCTGTGTGCCAGGCAGCATTGTGTTATGCGCAGTTGAACTCTGGATCTGAATGGTTTCCTGAGAGCCAAAACAAGGGGCAAATGATAAATTATAGAGAGGTGACATTCACATAATATAGGACAGGATGCAGAGGTGAAATTGACGGATTTGGAATTCTGGATAATGAGTTTGATCAGGTCCAAGCTGTAGCTCAGGAGGGAGCACATGCCTTGCATGCAGGAGATTTCTGGTTTACTCTCAGCATATCTAGTTACAGTAAACAATACTGAAGCTGGTGGGCCAGTTTACTAACATAGTGCAAGGCAGTTTTCTATGAAACACTTGTACTCCGATATTATAACTAATTGGCTTCTTAACAACTGAACACTTAGGTGCTAGGTGGTGGTTTTTGCTGTTATGTGGAATAGAATGTATGGTTTCCTAGCTCTCAGAGTTTTTTTTTCTCCCTATCTTGCTGGGGAATAGCAGAATTTTTAATACGTCTTTTTGGAGCATTAGTCCAAGACATCTATGGTGATTCTCAGTCATCCAGGTCGTGATTGTCCCAAAAGTGCTTTTTTTCAAAAGGCAACTGGACTTGGTTTCTTCTTGGATGAGAAGCAAAACCTCTTCAAGGAAAAAACAAAGTCCAGTTGCCTTTTGAAAAAGCATTTTTGGGATTAGTCCAAGACATTTTCCCACCACTACATAGTACCCTCCAGATGCAATGGACTTCACTATCAACTCTGATCAACTTAAGATCCCAGGATGATCTTAAAAGCAGCTAGTGGACAAAGAAACCACAATACAGAAGTAAGGATTCCTTCTTTCTTCTCTTGGAATAACTTAACTGGATGGGCATAGATTGATAGTCATCTCTAACAGAAAAAATGGCTATGCATTCCTAGTCCATCTTTTTTGAGGAAAGATCATTCCTATACATGCTATTTATGCTTCTTTTCCAACAGAAACACTCTGAAGATAGCTAAGTGTGTGCAAAAATAGTATATCCCAATGTATGTTAGAACACATTTATAATCCAATGTTTAAAAATAACACTGAAGAAATGAAGGGCATTCCATGGCATTAGAGCCAGAAGAGTCTAGTGTCTGTATCAAATATTGACCTGATCGACCGCTATGACTTGCTGAATCCTGATTGCAGTGTTTCTGCTTGTCAAATTTAAAACTTATTTGCCTTTTATAACCTTGCATCATATTCAGTTTAAACTTCTGAATGTCTTTTAATAATCCTACCATTGGCTCAA